TCCTGGGCTACCAAAATGTCTAACCTTACAAGACTTTACTACTTTGAAAATAATATTTCGTGGAGCTTAGAAAGTTTACGAATTTTAAATTTTGTTCGATGTACCTAAGTGGTCACGACAATCGATTTCTTTCTTTTCCTGGGCTACCAAAATGTCTAACCTTACAAGACTTTACTACTTTGAAAATAATATTTCGTGGAGCTTAGAAAGTTTTTTACAGTGGAGCCTGTTCTATGCTAACGACTTTGATGGAAATAAAGATAAAGAACATCGAATTTATAAGACACATTTAGAAGCAATCTATAATGATCCGAATTTATTGAAGAACCGTGATAGCGAAAGTCTGCAAAAGTCTGCAGAGGCTTTAAAAAATTTTAAGGTTCGGAAGTTTTTATTTAAATCATGAAGAGTGTGTTACTAGCTCAAAAGGTGCTAGGATACGTCTGACAGCCCGGTGGATACGTCTAGCGGGGCACCTTAGGATACGTCTGAATTGGGCACAACTTCGAACCGCTCTTTATGAAATTTAGTTTATTACTAATTTACCCAGAGGTGCTAGGATACGTCTGACAGCCTGATGGATACGTCTATCGGGGCACCTTAGGATACGTCTGAATGGGTTTTCTCTATTTTATTCATTTAGATGGAAGCAGACTCTGTTCAAGTTGGCGAGTTCTGGAAAAAAAGTCCGTCTTTCTTAGAAACTTTGAAGATAGCAATAAACCTTAATGCTGATAAAATGGTTTCTCGAGTAGCAGAATTACATGATGACTTCAGCAATACAATTTTTAGTGTCACTCAGAATCAATTACAATTACGTTTTGGTAATCCATTTAGAAGTATATATAATCTTTTCTGTGTATAATAATAAATACTGATACCTATAAATTTATTTTTAGGGCATAAGCGATCTTATTCTCACGAAGAAAATTTTCTGGAGCCACAAAGAAAAAAAATATTACCAGGAAGAGGGGTGGGGAATGTATTACCTGATGGCACAAAATTTGAAAAGGCGACTCCCCTTGATTTAGTACAGTCGGATGATGATGAGCATCTCTCTCAAGGAGATAACGATGAAGATGAAGACATACCTGCTCTGAAAGACAGTTGTCAAGAATTTAAAAGAATGGATTTTACCTTCAGGGCAGAATGTAGGCAAAATTATTGAAGAAAATGTATCTGCCAACGCAGAAAAAGTCAAGAATAAGAAAAGATTGACGATATATGAAAAGGCCATATTAAGATATGGTGTATCAAACATAATCGATTTATCTGTTATGAATGAATGGTTTTCCGCGAAGGATATAAAATTCATGGCGAAAGATTATATTGATCTATTAAAAGTTCCTCAGTTGCCAGCAGAAGAAAATACATTTATATCGAAAGTTGAAAGCGTATGTATCTTGTTCTGAATTTACCTTGATATAAAGGCGTATTTATTCATTGTTTTTCTACAGATGACGCTTAAGGGAGATGCGAACGGTGCATACAAGTTTTGCATTGAAACTCATGTTAATTCCGAAGAAAACAACTATATGTACAAAATAAGCAAGATATATTCCGAGTTGTAAGCAAATTATTTTATTGTTAAATTTTTTTTTTTGTGATTCTAATTCTTATTATTTGATATGTACAGCATTTATAGAAGTAAGAACAAAGTCGATATCCTGGATTATGCTGGAGATACGCACACAGAACTTGATGTCATTATGAAGGCTTTTGGATATATTATTGAAGGGCTGAACAATGGTTTTGGGACACATCAAAAATGGTTAGTAAAGACACGAGAGATTCGTTAACTTTGTGATCAAACTATTATATTATTCTTACAAGCATATTATATTCATGGTTTAAGGGGCGAATCCTTCTGCCCATTAAGTAAGAGCAAAGACTATAACAAGGGTCGAAAATGTGATTTACGCTTTCTATCGATATCCGGAGTGGACTTAGGAGAGTGGGAATTTGCATCTGAAGTAATCCCTCACAAGGTTGTTAGTGACCGTTGTAGATCTGCTAGAGTTAATCAGTCTATTTTGAATGGCTTGTTAAATCTCAATCTCACCGACGAGCAAGCTAAAAATATCAAAGTGCCCTTTGTGCAGATATGTGGCACAAGCGGTCAAATGTTAATTGTAGATTTGGTTGAGGATTTCTATGTAGTATTTCCTGGACCGAAGTTTGAGCTTCCCACAAAGCTTCAGCATATTAAAAAGCTAAAATCTGCTGTTAATATTATAAATTTTATTATGGTAAACTTGATTCCATTTGTTATCAAAAAAGTTTTGCATATCTAATCCATATTAATATTTTACATAGAATATATATGAGCAAACAAATGAAATAGCAGAAACTCAAGAAAACACACGCAATGGATTCAATGATATTTTTAGTGATAATGCCTATATCAAACCTATTCATTATAAGGCCAAATATATACATAAACCATGGTGGTCTCCCAAAAGCAAAAGATCATAATAGGAAATTCTTTTTTGCCATATAAAGATCATATTTAGCTTTATCATGCCTTATTGAAAATAATAAAAATTTCATGTATTTCAGGCTTTATCTTTTTAGTAATTCTATATGTATATTGTCAACTAATTGGTATTACGCGCACACTTTGTTCCATGTATTAATATTTCTTAATCACGAAAAATTATGTTTCCGGACCAAACAAAATTATGTAATAACTATTTTTCGTTCAGGATTTACGTAAGACAAACAACGTAGGTTTTGTTTCTGACACGATGTACCATATAAGTATAGCTGATGATTGTTTTTATTCTGTCCATAATATCGATAATTGGGGCGAATGAAGACGGTTCATTAAGTTAATGTGTTAGTATAGATAGTTAAACGAAAAAACTGGTATGTTCCGCAAGCATTAATATAGAACATTTTAAAAAATAAAACAGAATTAGCATTAGCGATTTGGTAATAATGATTATGATTGAACACAATAAAACAAGTATGTATATTTTTTGGCCATGTGTGATGAATCAATAAAGCCGGCCCTGGTGTTGATTTCGCATACGTAATCAGTTTACTTTTGCATGTGTATTTCGTGAATTTATTTTAATGTATTACTATCGATGTACACTACTCGCATATGATCGAGAATTTTTTTACGCAGTCATGTGTTTTGGATTTATTTATTTTTTGTGTTTACGTAGCATGTATCTCTGATTATGTTTCGATGAAAATATACATCTCCATGATAAAAGAATTGAATATATCCGTATTTTATATTAAAAATGGCAAACATACAATCTAAAGATGACTTGTTGAGAGAATTGAATTATAAGCTTGTAGCCGAGATTGATAAACTTAGGAAGGAGAATGCAGAAATACCTGAACTTAAAAAGAAATGTGCTGAAATTGAGGCTGAGAATATAAAATTAAAGCAGATTATAGAAGAAAATGCAGTGCTCAAGATCCGATTTGAAGAGCTAGAATAGAAACACCAAACAGATACTACCAAACTTACTGCTGAGAATACCGAGCTGAAAGATAGAGTCACGAAATTGGAACAGATACAGACTCTAGTCACTATTAATGACCAAAATGCATCTACAAATGATAAGAAATCTATTATTACCGATTCCACCCAGCTCCAGAAAGGTGAGTCTAAATATTTATTTGAATCTCCAACAGAGCCTGTGTTATCCATAACATCTTCACAACAAGATATTGTTGATGACAATTTGGCTAGTACTCTTGAATTCGTAGAAATGATACATAAAGAAAATATTGCTAATGAAATAAGCCAACACAATAGGGAAAAGAAACTTCAATATGAAGCAATTTCTCAAAAAATACCTTCAAATTCCCAAATATTGTACCCACTATTCCTTACGAGCAAAAGAAAGAACAAGGCTTAATTCAGGAAATATCTGCAGATGATAGCCAGGATGATGCATTCCCATCTACCCAAGATCATGACTCCATATCTCCAGAATATGTGACTGAAATTTTGCTGACCTCAGGTCAGGAAAAATCAAGCATCTTCCAAAATATCACCCACTTATATAAAAAAGTATGTGATGTGGAATATGAATCAATAAAAGCTAATCAGGCTGAAATTTTATACTAGAGTAATTTTATTATAGTATTTAACAAAAGTCTTGATAAACTCATAGTTAGAGATAAAGTGAGTATGAAAAAAGCTAAAGATCAAGTTTATGATTTTATTATTGTACAAAATCCTGGCATTATGCGCAAATCACTATATAAGAAAATTGAAAAAGCTAGAAAAATTTACAGGTTATTCAAAAAAATAGGCTTAGATAAAGTAAAATATATTAAGTCATATAGTGCGAATGCTATTTCGAAATTTATCAATGAACAGATTCAAACAATTATAGACCATTTTACCAAAAAGCCTAATATAGTATTCACTGATGATCAGAATAGTTCTTCAGATAACTTATTCAAAACTGAGGTAAGTATATCTACTGAATCAATTCCTTCAAACCCAAAGAGTCATAATTCGAAGAATTGCCTAATAGCCTGCTTGCAATAGATTTATCCCAAGAGAATAATCAAGATGAGTTAAAGACTCGAAGCTTTGCTTCCTCAGAATTACCAGGAGCTAAGATAAGTATATCTACTAAAACCGAGGTAAGTATATCTACTGAAGAGATTGTATCTAATTATACAAATACTATTATGCAGACAAACATCTCTAATTATTCAGGTTTTAACTTGGATTCCTCTGATAATAATGAGAATAATGATGATTATATAGGCACAATGTATTCTGACGATGATGAAGGTTACTACTACAATTTAAATACTGCCGAAACTTATAGAAAATCAGATCATCTAATCTATACATATTAATGTAAAAAATATATTGCTTATGCCTTCTCGTGATAAATCTATTCAAATAGGTAAACATATTTTTTTAAAAATTAATTTTTTAGAAAAGTCAATTACTTTTATTGTGCCTTCTCGCAAATATTTGTTCGAAGGTGGAAAAACGGCTGGAATCCTAGTACTTTCTCGCAATTTTATTGCTCAAAGTCACGAATTAGATAAATATATGTTCTCTACATTGATCACTTTTTTTCTTTTTTCGAATTTATAAGAAAAAAGGGTTATATTGTAAAAAATTGTACAGTATAAAAATAAAATTTGGTAAGAGTTTGAAATCCCACTTCTTTATTTAATATTTTTTTTTGCCAGAATGATAATATACAAATATATATTTTTATTATAAAAAAAAATAAATGCCTCAAAGAGACACCCTTAATAGGTTATGTTGGTAGGGCTACATTTGATCTAATATTTTTTGGGCTTAACCGGGATTCATATCACTCCAGTCATCATTTTCTATACATCTTATTAAAGATACCTCTGAAATTAGTATTACGTAATCACCTCTCTTAACATATTCCTCATCGTCTAGTAAGATGCCATAATTTGAATTATCTGATTTAAATAAAATTCTACTACATAAGTATTCGTATGCTTCGAGTATATCTAAAAAGGTAGAATTTTACTTACCATTTCTGTTTCTCTTATTATTATGTGAATTAGGTGTCCTTTGGCTAGGTCTTGGATTGGGTAGTGTTGGAGAAATATAATAGGTTTTGGAGGGGTCATTGTCATTGGTCATAGAAGTGGTAGTGGTGTTATTATCATTAGTCTTGAAGGCGTTACTATCACTGGTTCTGGGGACCTTATTTTTTTTGTTTTTGGTGGTGTTATCATTAGTGCTCATTTTTCGTTTCTAAATAAAAAACATATAGTAAGTAAAAAATTGATTTTCTTAGTCTCTATTAAATGGTATATTACTTTTAAAAATATAGGCAAGTGAATCAAGTAAAAAAAATATATAAGCAAAGAATAACATTATTGCTAACTTATCTTATAGGTGGGAACTTGCATTTTTATACCATTCGCTAGATCTAAAAAACCTGTCTAAAAAAAAGTTACATAATTAGTAATTGTAGTAGAGTAATACAATCTAGATCCCACCATATAAAGCAAGTCTACTCAGTTATAAGTTCCAAATACTGAATCTATTTTGTCACTTTTCTGGTGAAATTAAACCCTTCTTAGATTTGACGATCGCTCCTGCGAAGTGAAAAAGTTAACGATCTCAGCAATCTGGAAAATTTCAAGTCCCCATAACATATGAATTTGGATAAAACTACTGATAAAGAATGTTATATTCTTTCTCCTTATAGCATTTTTAAATCTTATTCGTGCTTGTCTTATCGTGGTATCATAATAAGAAGGTCCTAAATATTATTTAATGTTATTAAAAAAAATCAACCGTAAGAAAGATTCTGCAGATGAGTAATACCACATAAAATTTAATGCAGGCTATTGATTATTAAAGCCGGTCAAGGTTTTATTATTTGAATCTGCCTTCTCACAATACTTGAGAAAAAAACAATCACTATTTTAGCTTCAACCTAGACCAAAATAAAAGTGGTTCTACAGGTTCATTAACTTGCATTATACAATGTAACATAATACACATATGCTTTATTTTTTCCAGTACAGGTTAATAGTGAAATAAGTCACTAATGGCTGTTATTTTTGAATGGCTATTAACGTGGTTGGGTTAAACTAATGCACATTTATATTTACACTTTGCTAGATGTTTAATTAACATATTTTGATTATAATGCATATAGGTTATTCTAAATTTGTATTACTGTACCCCGTATAGCCAAATGCGCTTCTCGACAAGTTATTGAACAATGTACAATAATCCCAAATATAAAAAATGTATTATTGTTGCCATGTTCAATAATTGTGGTGCCAAATTTGGTAAACATGCAATTGTAATTATCATGTTAAGTTGTTATAGCACCAAATAAAGAATTGTGCTAATACTTGTGATGCTAAATTATTATCCTTTATAGAAAGGTATTTTATAATTTTAATATACAATGCCATGATAAAATATTTTGCAAATTTATAAATTGACACGTGTTAGGAGTAAATATACCTTTATATTTTTCTAATAAAAGGGGTGTCTCCCAGTATAGACGTCTATAATTTATTTGTCATTTTTTATAAATCTGCAAGCTTCACTATATATCACTAAAACTTTCTACCTATTAGTAACTTAAAATTCAAAAACAATGCAAGTGTCTATTGAGAAGTGTAAAAATGAAAATGAAAATTCTAACCCTATTAGCATGTCACAAGAGAAACTAGCCAAAAAATTGTCATGTTATGCTCATTATAATAAAAAACATAGGCTTGAAAAAAAACAAATTTTGATCCTACCAATAGACTATAATTTACCTACTGCACCAACCATAGCATTAACAATTAATGATATTACTTTTGATCCTAAATGAGTATATACTATTAATAATTATCGAATTCTTTTCTCACTGCTAGGATTGTTCTTGTGTTAATGGATCAACCTTTCCAAGCTATTATTAAATATACTCAGTTATACAAAAAATTTCATTTTTATTATTAAAATGATAGGGCCTTTACTAAGT